TTTTAATTTACTTATGTTTATGTTTCATAATTTTTCAAACTAGACACAAATTTGATTGCCTTATGCCATATAACCTTGACTAAATGCTAAAGAAATTAAAGCAAGAATATGATTTAGTGTTGCATTTAACTTTGTTTTTGTTGTCTTTAAATTTTATATTTTCGGATTTAGTATGACTGAAATCCTGAATATGAAATTTTAGGAAATCTTAAGAATATTATTCAGGCTTTTAGATTTAGTATTTCTGAAAGCCTGAAGATGAGATTGCTGAAAGTATCCATACACATTCTATACAGCGGGAAATTTACTTTTATTGGCAAATGTTAGTGCGATGTCATCACTCCTCGACAGGTAATACTTTGTATAAGACATATACACACTATCCACGTATTGAGTTAAATCGACAGACATGTTTGTCCTAAATCAGAAGCTAAAAATGCCTAGCTAATAGATAAATAAAGTGAAATTAATAAAACAGGAAAGAATACTAAATTCCTTTTAAAAAAAGAAAAATAATATTAGAAATAATAAACTTGAGATGAAACAAATACCTACCTATCTACCTACCTCCCTCTCTTTCTGAAAAGTTTTTAAAAGGTATAAATACCGAATTACCTAGATTATATGTGTGCGAAATCCAGGTAATTCGATATTTATTCCTTTTACAAATTATCCATTTTTACAAAACCATATTTAATGTTACAAGAGATTGTTTTAGACATTTTTTCTACTTGAACTACATATTTTCAACTGATTAATATTATTTCTATTAATACTAATGAGTTGAAAATATGTAGCTAATCTAAATTCAATGCTTAGCACATTTTAGGCTTAGCAGTAATATTTTGCTACTGAACAGGTAGAATATATATACTTTTTTTTTCATTTCAAAATGTTTTCTACTCTAATGCTACAAATTTGAAGAATTAACTTCTCTTTTTATTTTTTGTTTTTAAGCCCAAAAAGGCGATAGCTCAGACCTTCTATTAGTCTCGAAACGGCATTTTGTGACGGTTTACTATAAATGTCCTTTTCACTTTTTGAATATTTGCAACCAAATATTATCGCCCTGAATTATATTTAAAGAAATTAAATAATGAAGAATATGCAGAATGTATGTATGAATGTTTCTCGCATTGTGAAAAAACAAGGGCACCTACGGCCATCAAATTCTGAATAACTTTGTCCTCCACTCGCATATGGGCAACTAAAGCCCGAATTTTGAATTTGTTTTATTGTTTATTTCACATTCTGTAAAACTTTAACGAACATTTTATAAAAAAAAAAAAAAATTTCAACGATTTCAACAGGGCGATAATATGTAAACTGAAAATTATTATTGTTATAGTTTTTAAACTTTTAGCTTTTTTGCTTGCTTATGATTTTGATACTAATTTTTTTTTTTTTTTTTTTTTTTTTAATTTTAACCCAACCTATAGGGTTTTCAAATTTTTACACAGTTTTATTTTGTCATGTATTAAATTGCTTATACTTGCATGTTTTGTTCTTGGACTCGGTCTACTCAAAATAGTATGTTTATGCTATTTAAAATTTATTTATGCTTTAGATGTTATAATTTTGCAGTTTTTTACACTACTTACTTCGCCCTATAGGGGTTGACTGATAAAGACACTGATTACTTTGATTGTTTTTCTGAGATTACTTTAAGTTTTAAACTTTGATTTTTGTCTTTGTAAAGTTCAGAAACAGGCTAATTTATTTGCTTCTTTCTTTTCCCTTACCCCCCCCCCCGTCCGATGACAACGCAGCGAAAGAATGTAAATTTCCTTTTTCGTTTTGGTTTCGACGTATTTTTCTCCCGTTCTTGCAGTTTGTTACTGTACTTATGGTTTTTGATTTTTATATACAGTTTTGAATATGGGATGAATTTTAAACACATTATTTATTTTAATTTATTTTGCTTTATTACCACTACTTATTGCTGTTTTCAGCGAGCAGTCAGTTTAAGCTGTGAGCTGCCTTTTACTTTGTATTTATTCATTTATATAAATAATTCAGGTGCTTTAAAAAATCTAAAAACGTTTTTAGAAATAAACTTCCTTTGAACTAAAATAAACTTCATGGAGAGATTTATTTTCCGGTATGTAAAGATAAGGATTTTTCGACAGCTGATTTTATTGTTGAGAGAGGATATGAAAAAAATCCATAAAATATCATTTCAGCATTAAATTAGAAATAAGTGTTTAAATCACAGAAATCTCTTCGAATTGCTCGTGCATACCCCGCTCCCAGATAATATGTGCCTAAATTTTGTAGGTTTGAACATTTCTTTCTCTGCGCTATGCTATGCATACAAAAACAAATCCTTCATTCTTCTTGATAATAGATAGTTACAAATTTTATACTTGCATATTTGGTATGTATTATGGTATAATTTTCTTAAAAAGTATTTGTTTATATCATAATACTTGAATGGTTAAGGATTATAGAATAATTTGCTCAAGTAGATCGCACTTTACTTGAATCTTTTTTAAAAACCATAGCATAATAATTTGGTTGGAGAGAGTCAATTTGTATTACTATTGATAGCAAATTTGTATTACCTTTGGTAATATTTGAAAACATTTTTCGCTTTTTGTTTTTGACCTAAAACTGAATAAATGCTGTAAAAAATACACTGAATAAAAGTGTTAAAAGCATAAAAAATAAGTTAAAATTTTAAAATTTAACAAGTCAACGTTAAGATTTATTATAAAAATGATTTAATAGTAATTTTAAAATATTTTAAGATCCTATTGGCTTTTTGATATTATCTAAAACGACATGAAAAATAACCATTGAAAACAATATAGAGAATGATTTGCTTTCGAATTGCGAAAATATTACGAGTTTAGCGCTTTTAAAAATTATTAGAAGGAAATGCGGAAGAATTGAAAACTTTGAAAATCTTCTGATTTTCAAAATTAGCTTATTTTTATTTTAATATCGTCCAATTCCAGAGAATTGAAATATTATAGCATATAAACAAGATTCAACACCCTATCAAAATGATTAAATGAATGATATTTAAAACCATTTTTTGGGTCGGCACATAGATTTTGGTTTCCAGCAGATCCCATTAAGCTTGTAACACACATTGAAAATATTTAGAAAGGATAAATCCATCGGGCAAATATTTAGCTTTGTCACATGATAGAAAACAGTGGACCACTAAGGATTCCTGGGGTACCCATATAAAAGAAAACAGGTGCTCCATAACTGTATACGAGAAGAAAAAGAACGATTCTGTAGCAAATTTGGCTGGGAACGTGCGAAAAGTACATGTTTTGGAGAGGAGGATCTACTTTTGTGAAGGATTTTTTTACATAGAATAAATTGATGACCCAGGCAATGTTACACGATATATGATAATGAAAAACAAATGTAAAGAACAAATTTTGAACATGATAAAAGTACCAGATCGGTTACGTCTCTCTTCTTTAAAGTTGCCAATGTAATACTTAGACTAGGCTCGTCAGCGATTGTTAATAATCGATCAAATTATGAGATTAGCAACATGCATAAATTACAGATACTTAGCTTTCGGGCTAAAAATACTTTCTTACATTCTTTCCAGATTTCTTTAATGCTTTCACTCTCGGAAGACAAACGATATGCAGAGAGCTTAACCCTGTTTTTAGTCTCACGATGACTACATTCTTGAAAAATATAGTAACTGTTTCAAAAGTTAGAACACCTGGTGTAATACTAAGTAATACATTGATCTAAATGAACACATACTTATTGAGAAATAGTGGTGTTCATTCATTGCACAGCTGCCGATAAGAAAACATTCCGTTGCCACAAATGGTTGATTTGTCGCTAAATTGTAACTGCCTCAGTAGGTTTTTCTGTTAAATTTTTATGTCTGTGTCTCCTTGAATGAAGAAATAAAAAGATAACCAGTATCCTACACGCGATGTAATTTCTGGAATTATTCTTTAGGAGGTATTTGTATAAAGCAAATTTTTGGCACAAGATAAATTTTCTTTTCTGAATTTGCTATCATATCTTATAAATGATGTTCCTTAAAATTTGTTGTATGTATTTTATTTTAATTTAGTTATTACATAAGTTAAAGTTTTGAAATTCAAAACGCAACTAAGGATAAAGGAAATTAATAGCCAGTTTGTTTTTTTAATATTACTTAAATTTTACTTCATTGTGGTATTGCTGGATAAGACATTTTAATTTAAATCAAACAAAGATAAATTTTAGTGATAATTCTCACATTCTATGGAGCATTTTAAAAAATCTCAAAATAAAAACCATGCACTCTGATCTGTGATATGAACGTTCAAAGAGTCCTTATTTTTTTGAAATAGGGCACTAACATGCCTAAGACAGTAATTCATAGAGCCTTCAGTTTAAGAATTAAAATTCTCTTATTCTTAGCAATTTCTTAACAGTTTGTTCAGTTTAACAAAATTTAAAAAGATCACTTTCGTTTTTTATAAATCTTCCCTTTTTGAAAAACTAAGCTGAAAAAATAAATTAAAAATTATTTAATTTTTTAATCTAGTTTTTAATTTAATAGGTAGTTAATAGTTAGCAAAATAGGTACCAAATAGGTAGAACACAAATTCGAAAATATAATATAAAATAATTTTGTAACACAAAATAAAATTCTGGAACACGCTGTGCATACAAAATTCTGTAAACACTTGCACATTTTAAACTTGATAAGCATTAATAGTATTAATACATTTGGGGGTTTATTAAAAAGGTGCACGATTTCCTAAAGATAGGTACTTATTTTTGGAACACCCTGTATCATATGATAGAATTTCTGTAGAGACGTTCGCACGCATCCCTAATTTGTAATATTGTAATAAAATTCTGAATAAATCTATTTGTATCGCACTGAAATGTTATTTGGTAGACTTTAATTGTAGGTAATAAAATTAATTGATGTTTACTGATTTTAAAAAAAAGTTAATCATTCTTTTTTAAATCTGAAAAATGTTTAATGATGTGACTAAAGTTTGGAATAGACTCACCTTCTCTTATTTTTCGGTAGGTCGTATCAAAATCGAAGCCACATTCTTTAAGCATGGCAAAATACAAAGTATAGGCCATGGAGGCCGATGCTCCGAACGTGGTCACCAATCTGTTGAGACTCTCTTGAAGATGAGGGTTTATGCCACCTGCTAGAAAAATAGCACTTTATTAGTAATAGCAAAAGTTTATCTCGTAACAAATAACTGCTCATTGCAAAGAATATTAGTAAATTAATTTTAAAATTAATGGTCATTTCAAGAGCATCAATAAGTACTACAAAGAAAGAAGACGAAGAAAACGAAAAGAAAGAACATGCTATAAAAACATGCTGACTTCCTAAACTACAAAGATATGGTATTCCTCACTTGATAGGGAAAAGATGAAATTTTATTACATCAGGCATTTTTCATTACAACAAAGCTATAGTCAGTTGCATGCCACAAGCTATATAAGATCCACTGCTGCGAAAATTCATCGAAGTCCTTGCAATATAGTAAACACACAAGCTTGGTTTCCTTGAAAATCTCCAAAGTAAAAATTCGCTTGGGGGTCAGATGCCGATACCTAAGACTCAAAGGTCATCTTGTAAACTTCGGTGACTATGCTAGCGATAAGGAATACGTGTATTCAGCTAACGTAAGGAAAGCAAATGAACGCGGGGCCATGATATATTTTCTCTCTGAATAGGCAAATTATCATATATTTTTACAATGCCAGAAAGTATAGTTTTTTAAGAGAAAATATTCTGCTTCTTATTTCTGAAGCGCTTTAAAAAGCTTCCATATTCGATTAGGACTGCTATCAACAGTAATATTCATATTAGCATATGTTAATGACAACATAACGTGAACACGTTACGTAAAGGCATGTTTTTACACTTTGTGAAGAAAAACCTGTGCATTCTTAAATAAAGTGTGCACCTTCTAGCTTCTGATTTTCGGAAAGGGCTTTCAAAATTCATTATACGGGTTTTCAGGATACAGTTTTTAAAAAAATATTGAAGAAATAAATATTATTGCTTCAATGATTGGTCGTAATTGCAGTTTTTAAGTTAAATCAAACAGAGCAATCTTTCAGATTATGGCCGTTATGGTTATATGACACGTTTTAGTAAAGTAGTACGTGAATAAAATCACCCTAATTTTAAGTTTTTCTTATTATATAAACTTGCTTTTAGTCTGCACCATGGATTATCAGCTTACCTTTCAAACAATTTTACTTGGGTAGCGTTTTTGAAAGATTCTGTATTCTGTAACGTACAGCTAAAGAAAAAATTCTTATGTAAACACCACATAACTTCTTTCTACAACTTGTTTAATTATATATACTTTTTCTGTGCTTTATTTAAACTTATTTCCTTCAATTATTCTAACTTAATTAACATATCCATCAAGGTAAGGTGAAAAAGACATAAGCTGCAGATTTTTAAACTAAATATCCCAGTTAATTTTTGGCGTACGGGAGGCAAATTTCTTGTATTTTTAGTTTTTCATAATGAGTATAAAAACTTTGCCAAACATAAATATGGGAAATGGGAGACCACATTAAAAGTTTAATTTCGCTATTGTAAAAGAGTCATTATTCTTGTTTTAATTTGACATTTCCAAAACATGAATATTTTCATCATTTAAGACGCTTCTGTAGTTGGAAGTATATGATTATGATCAATGATTGCGAAAATAAAGGCCAGGTAAGGACTTTTAAGCCGGGTATCGGGGGGTATGAGTATGAGTATATATATATATATATATAATCTTTCCATATTATATATATATATAGATAATATTATGGAAAGAATATTATTATATATATATATATATATAAACGCATATATATTATATATACTCATACACACGATATATATATTATATATATATTATATATATATTAAGCAAAGCAGTAATAACAATTTTGGTCAAGAAAACATCTTGCGCAATATGCTGCAAAATAAGTAAAAAATAAAAATTGTAGAAAGCTCGCCTATATATACTCGTGCATATATATATATATATTCACGCTTTTTAGATAACTCTGCGAAAATTAATCTTAGGAGATAATGTAATCAATATTTCTTTAGTAAATAAATATATATATATACGCAACAGATCCATTTTAAATTAATTTTACAATCGGTTTTGGAAAAAAGAATCCTTTATTGTGTCCGTACGTACAAATGTAATACCGGAAAAAATCACTCAAATGGATTCGTGTCGTGAACTGTCAAAATGGATATTTCCGTTGAAATTGGATAATCGAAATTTTCGCGATCACAATACTCTATTTCATACAAGGTATAATGAAAACTAAACAAATAAATACCCCAAAGTCTGTTGGAAAGATCAGTTATGAGAGTATTTGTTAATTTAGGTTAAAAAAATTTAAAAATACAAAACACGCAAATCAAACTGCTCACATAAACCTACTTTCACGAAAAAGTTCTTCCGCTCCATATTAGGATCATGACATGAAACAATAATAGCCTAACTTTTAAATACGTTTTCCCACCCGCAACTACTGGAACATTTATTTTTAATGAGAAATTTCTAGAAAAAGTGATGTTTCAAATTACTGGAGGAAAAAGTAAAACAAAAAATACTTTTATCATAAACTTGCTGTTTTAGTAAAGGAGTTACCGTGGTTTGCCCGTGGCAGTGACCTGATTTCCTATATTACATCAAACAATCTAATTTACGAAGTTGCATACGTAACTTTGCAAATTAGACTATGTTTAGAACTGCTAGTGCAATTTTTGTTTAGATACCATATGAAACATAAATATTTAATCGCCTCAACTGTCTATTACACCAAATGTATATTTGCTTTCTATTGTGTTGCGGAGCAATATAGCTTTTGTTCTCTCTAAATACTAGGATTAAATATTTCAATTTATTCAATTCCAGAATGATCAGTGCTAGATCAGCGCTCAAAAGTCCTAGTATTTATAAGACAAGATTTATAAGATTCATAAAATAATTTTTGCAAAACTGTATTCACTTAAAGTGAATCAATACATGTTTTGCACTAATTCGCATTGATCACCAATTTTCACTTACCTTGAATCTGATATTTCAGTATCTGTATTCAATAAGCTTCCACTTGTAAAGAATCATTACTTATAGTGCGTAAAATTATATGTCATTGTATGGTCGCAAAAGTATATTTTTGTATGGCATTTATTGTAATTTAATACCTTAATATGATACAATATACATATTAAATTGGTATAAATGATAAATTTGGTAATTGTGCAATTAAAATACATAATGCAATGTGATATTTTCTCATCCAATATATAAAAAATTCCGAAGTAAAATAATTTCTTGAGCCACTCAGTTTAGAATAATATGATAAAATGAGCTTGTTAAAGCAGTTCCGATTTTTAAATGCAACGACTAAATCACATGCGTTCAGATTTTATTAGCATATAAATGATCAGCTTATTATGTTACCTTGATTCTTACCTATATATATTTTTAATAAAGATTTATCAATTGAATTTAGACACAAACTGCTGCACATTCTTCTCTTAGTTATGTATTTGAATTCATAAAATATTCTATCTTTGCACTGTGAAATTTTGCAGTTGGTACAATTTCTAATTTTATATTCTTCTTGAGTAAGAAAATATGTACATCTCACAATATTTAAAAGCATGTAAACTCATAACTGATATATCGAAAAAACTTAAAATAAATATTCCCCTCCCAATGAAATTTTGTGATAAGGAACAACACATAAAGGAAAGATATTTATGCTTGTCTTTGTCACCACTGCAGAATTTCCACATCCTTATTCTCTTCAGGTATTTGAGGACGACGAGAAAAATAATATTGGAATGGTTTGAATGGAAAATAACAAACTAGATCTTTTACACTTACTGGAGAAGTGAAAAGGTTATCCAGAAAGAGAAACGGACATGTTTGTGATTCTTGGATGCTAAGAGTCTTTTGACGTGAAAGTTAATAAATCTTCCAAATATGGAATTCAAAGATTTGACATTGTAATTGGACAAAGGTAATAAGTAAAATACAAGTACAATGGCCCAGTTTGAAAAATATGTGTGGATGGATAATTTCAACGACAATAATTAAAAAGATTTTTTTTCTACTGGATTCTTGTAGTTAATAGTAGTTAATCGTTAGTTAATCCCCTCCCCTGATTTATAGAGCTGTCGTGAGCAAATCTCTCAAAATGTTCTTATTGCTAGGTATTATTTTTTACACATCTGACTACAATAGGCTCCGACATAGAATGTGTAGTCAATTATGCCAAATTAAATTATAATTCTAGATTTTTTAACATTTAATACAATTCTATTTACAGTTACATTTACAAATTAGACACACATATAATGAGCATTCGAAAATAAACCTAGACTCTTTTCCTAAATTCGAAAGCTTTTGAAAATCGAACATCGCAAACTTAAACACAAACCTCATTTTCTAAACGCAGCGAAGTGAAAGAATTCCCTAATATGCTCAGCGGATTTCAGTATGTCACGTAACGAACCCAGAACTCAATTCTATCGCAGTGTTCATCGTTAGAGTTAATTTTAAAACGATATAGTCTCAAACCCAGGAAAGCTTTTTAATTCGCTCGCGCAGAATTCTGCAATTACGGTTACCACTGCTGTTGTTGTCAGGTTTACTCTCTCACATACGTGAAAGAAAAAACAAGAGTTTTTAAATTGCACAGAAATGATAACTGTTCAATAAGATATATTTATAACTCTATTCAATATTTATATTTGTTCAACAGGAAAATTTCCATATTATTCCAAATGTGAAATTTTAATCTTGACATTTTCAGTTTTAATCATTGATTAACAGAAGAGAAGTTAAAAATAAGTACTGGAGTAACAGTATTAGAGTTTTATTGGTATATGTTAGTATCGTCTCTATAAAAATTAAGGTTGCATATTATCTATAAAAATAGATGTTTCCCTCTGAAAAAATTCGATGTCCTTGTAAGAATAAATAGTGATAAAACCGCTACCTTCGAAATGTTTACGTATTTGTTACATTTGGTATTCGATTAGTAAACGAATGGAGGGAAATGCGAAAAATATGAGTGGAATTATAATAGTACTCAAAACGCTACCCTCACAAAACCTTGATATTAAAGGTTTCTTCCTGCTCCCCTCCTATTT